TCAATCCATTTTATACAAATCTGTCCAAAGGTGAATATTGGAAGATGATCCTCTGAAAACTGTCCAACGGCTAGTTTGGAAGTGGAAGAGTATAAAAGGAGATCAGCGAGGAGAATAAGGTAGAGAACGAAATCAAGAATCAACAAGTCCAAAGTCTGAGCATACTCCGATTCAATCTCTTGTCTTTCGTGAGCTTAAACGTGTAATTATTTGAGAGGTGTAGACAGTGTTATAAGTGTGTGCTTAGGTATGAGATAGTGTGATCTATCGGCTTGGTATAAGCAGCACCAGCTTCGGGGAGAAGTGCTTGGGTTTAAGCAGCACAACTTGCTGTAACTTCTCATTGATTTTATTAGTGGAATCCAGCCAGTAGGCTGTCAGCGTGGGAGAGTGAACGTAGGCTTGATCTAAGCTGAACCACTATAATTGTTTGTGTGCAGTTTTCTCCATCTCGAATCTCTTATTATATTGTTTATACTGCTCACAAGAACATTTGTCACAAAGTCTGATCAGAATTTGCTTGTTGTTCAGACTTTGTTCTTGATATTTTACTTCCGCTTTAAATTGGTAAAGAATTTATTTAGATCACCTATTCACCCCCCTCTAGGTGATCCTTGCTAGCTACATCAGTTGTGAAGTATGACGCACTTATTTAAAGGAGCGTTTACAGTTTGACACAACACCCAACATTTTTTTCAAATAAGTTGTTAATAAACCAAGAAATTGCTAATTAATAAACTTGAAATAAGCTTGAATGTTGCCCATTGTATTCCAGAAATTGGAAGTTGGAGACAAATCGATGTGGGGACTTGAAGAAATCATCATACTCGGTTTGGTCTTTTCGTTACCAAATGGGCTAAGTAAGTTTTGGGCAAATCCTCATGATGAAGCATCCAAAAAAGCACTTGTCACAAAGACCATTTCTGGTCATAAACCAAAAATTGATTCATCATACCCTAGTCAACTCCATTGGACCACGCACTCGAGAGACTCAACGTCAAGACTGGTGAAGAAGATGCAAAAACCTGAGAGATTCAATCCCAACCCAACTGCAGTATTCGAGATACAATTTCTATGATGAACAAAGTCCAATCGAACCATTCTTTGGGAAAAGAGGAGGCAGAGGTATTACACCATTTTCCTTTTAACTCAAAGACTCTTGCATGTGAATCCAATTAATCTATAAAATATAGTGAAAAGGACCCTTTTTCTTCCTCGTAATTTCTTAAAGTAATTAGTTCTGAGTAAGCCGTATCAATCACGTAACGTGTTCTTAAAACAGTTAGTTTCCTCATTTTGACCCTACTCAGGTTCTTTTCATTGGCAGGACATGTTTCCAAAGCCCTTCCACAGGTTTCTTGATCGACTGACTAGCCATTTTTTTCATAAGTAATCAAGGTGGAAAGGGTCAGCCAGTTTCGGCGGCCCCCTTGAGCATTACCATAGGAGTTCCTTCCACACTCATGTGACTTACCAGCCACTTGACTAGGTAAAAATTGCGTAGATTACAAGATAAAAACATCTTCCATTTGGTAGTTGGCAAGTTAATTTAAACTTTGTCAATTTATAGTGGATTTCTTCATAAGAGATTAATTTTTCTATATATTTTATAGAGCTTATAACAATGACGGTTTAATAAGATTGTGATTCCGTCAACCCTGAGGACAGCTTCTTCCACATTGCGAAAAGGGTCAAGTCACAACAACAAGAGAAATTCCATTAGAACTCTAAATTGATGTGGGACAATTGACATGATGTGTATGGATGTTGAATTTGAGACGTCTAAATGAGTTAGTCAAATAAATAGACGTTTCATCGTTGAAGTACAATTTACTTGGAAATGGTCATACATCTTCGGCGTATGCGCGAAACTTCCGCCTGCATGCATGCACAGGACACGGAGAATAAAATATATATGCGTTTGCTGCAGTTGCACCATATTTTATAGTTATGCTGTATTCTTTATGATCTAAGTTGTCGGAGAGAAATTGAAAGGAGAAAATATAGACAGAAAAGAGATAATTGGGGGAAAATCGAGGCGGTAATTGCAATTTCCCCAACTCGTTTTGAGGATACCTTTAGCCGAACCATTAATTGGATTGACTTTTAATTCTTACTTTTTACTTAGTAAAAATTTGCGGTGCATGCATTTTGATTTTTTTGAACTTGAAATATTTAAAATTGTTGCGATATATAAATGTTGACACGTAAATTGATGTATTATGTTTTTGTAATTTTTTAAATTAAGATAATAAAGTAATATCAGGTAATATTGGCTCAAATTGGCAAGAGATCTGAACTTCACAATATTCATGAATGCCATAGCACAGGGAATGTTATTGTCTTACCCACATCCCTATTATAGGCATTTAATTTGCCTCATAAAGTATTTTTTTCTTCTGGCTTTATTAATGAGTTATGCAATCACAATTTCACTTGTTAATTAAATCATCTCCTAATCGATGTGTATTTCGAAATAATGGCTCACAAATAAACTATGAGGAATTCAACCTAATAGGTCGGTTTAATCACATACGGTTGTCATCAAGTTTCCACAATATTACTATTGAAACTTTTCAATATACATAAACCTTGATTTGCAAATTCATTGAAATCTAGGATATCTTATAGGTGGTCAAAACTTAGAATATTTCTATATCTATTTATAATTATGAAGGGAAAGGATATCTCATAGATGGGAAAATTACCAAAAAAGTCTTAAACCTTTTACAGTTGTGCCAATTCAGTCCTAAACCTTTTGCAATTCGGCCAATTCAGTCCTTTTGGCCGGCCGGAGCTGACGTGGACGCCGGCCGGTGACGTGGCAATATTTTAATATTTTTTTCGAATTTTTTTTTCCTTTCTCTTTTTTTTTTTCTTTTCCTTCTTCCCCCTGGCCAGTCCGGCCAGGGGGAAGCTCGCCGGCGAGGTCCACTGGGGAGGCTCGCCGTCGCCGAGCAAGGCGAGGCGACCTCGCCCAGCCTCGCCACTGCTGTGCAACGGCGAGGGCGAAGCTCGCCATGGCTAGGCGAGCTCTGCCCTCGCCGCCGCTGGGCGAGTTCGGCGTCGCCCGGCTCGCCCGGCGGCGGCGAGGGCGTAGCTCGCCCGGCCATGGCGAGCTCCGCCCTTGCCGGGTCCTCGCCGGTCTGCGACGAGGCGAGCCTCGCCGTCGCACAACCACGGCGAGGCTCGAGCTCGCCGAGATCCGGGCGAGGTCGAGCTCGCCCGACCATGGCGAGCGGCCGGCGAGGGCGACCTCGCCCAGATCTGGCGAGGTCGAGCCTCGCCGTGGCTGTGCGACGGCGAGGCTCGCCCTCGTCGGCACTGGCGAGGCTGGGCGAGGTCGCCTCGCCTTGCCCGGCGACGACGAGCCTCCCCAGTGGACCTCGCCGGCGAGCTTCCCCCTGGCCGGACTGGCCAGGTGGAAGAAGGAAAAGAAAAAAAAAAGAGAAAGGAAAAAAATTAAAAAAAAAAAAATATTAAAATATTGCCACGTCACCAGCCGGCGTCCACGTCAGCGCCGGGCGGCACCCACGTCAGCTCTGGCAGGCCAAAAGGACTGAATTGACGGAATTGCAAAAGGTTTAGGACTGAATTAGCTAAAAAAAAGGTTTATGACTGAATTGGCACAACTGCAAAAGGTTTAGGACTTTTTTGGTAATTTTCCCCTCATAGATTGTCAAAACTTAGAATATTTCTATTTATTTTTTATAATTATAAAGCGAAATCACGGTTCTTCTTTGTTTTTTTATTGTAGCCAAAAGATAATTTTCTAATTTTTCCTGTTAATTTTCTTTTTTAATTTAGTGTAACTACAAATTCTAGGTAAGGCTTTCACACCCTCTACGAAATAAATGCTGAACTTAAGATTGCGAGGAAATCTTCGCTCGATATCATTCACGATCCATCGATCCTAGATACAAGTGATTGCAGGGCTAAGGTCCTTAAATCTTTGATCTACATACCATCGCCATGACACCCAGTCAAAGAGAACTACCCTCTCTCTCTCTCTCTCTCTCTCTCTCTCGTCCTAAGCCGAATACATATCTTAGCTTGACCTCTGGTTGAGGTCGTTGGAAGTTATTGATCTCATGTCGATGGCTTTTGAATACGTCGGAAGAGAGAGAGAGAGAAAGAGATGTCCCGAGGGCGATGGAGGCAGCTTAGTAGCGCGATCGCTCAAAGTCTAGCTTTGAGGTTGCCCGAGGATGTAGAGACGTAGAGTGTGAGCTGCGCTAGCGGCGCGGGCAAGCCAAAGGCGAGAGAGTGAAGGACAAGAGGGAGAATGGGGGAGGGATAGATGGGGGCTCAGTTTCTGTTAGGAAGTACGGTGGAAATCCAATAACTTCACCACGAGAATCCCAAGAGAGAGATCACATCTGTTGATTATCTTTTCGCAATAGTTTCATTTTCTAGAGAGTATTGGATTGCCGTGTGGCTCGAATACAACATTACATGAGTGATGATGGAAGGTCAAAATTATTGTAATATGGTTCCAACTATTTATATACATGTGATTTTCCTCTACCTAAAAGTTGAAGCTTTTGAGTTGGACTTTCTAACATGATATTAGAATTAGTGCTGAGTGTTGAAATATTATCTCACATCGCTTCACATCGCTTAAGAGTGGGTCTTCCCGTTATCAAGCGATATAGGATAATATTTCAATAAAAAAAAGGCCCCTTCTCCCATTCACACGAAGCAAAGTAGAGCACTACTATACCAAAAGCCGGTTCAATTTTTGATACTGTGCTCGTGGAATATTCGTCCGTGTCACTAGACTGGCAGCACGCGGTGGTCCTGAGTTTCATCGTAAAGAGGACAAAATACAACCCGGGAAAACTCTACCATATTACTGTACGGACATCAAAGTTTTTCTCCTGCACAAGCGCGTCGAAATTTCCAAGCAAAACCCAGGTCTTTCTTTCTCTCTTATTTCACTACCAGTGAAGCGCGCTCTCTCTCTCTCTCTCTCTCTCTCTCTTCGTCCCTCAACCCATCCTCGAGAATTCGATCCCTTCGCTTATTTATACGTGACGAGCTCAACACGTTCTTGCACATAACTACAAACGAAAGCAAGAAAGACACAAAAGCCAAAAGCAAGTTATCTTGAGAGAGAGAGAGAGAGAGAGAGAGAGAGAGAGAGAGAGAGAGAGATGGAGGATTTGCCACCAGGGTTTCGGTTCTTCCCCACCGAAGAAGAGTTGGTTTCGTTCTATTTACAAAGCAAGCTCGAGGGAACAAGACAGGCTCTACACGGGCTTATTCACCGGGTCATACCCGTTCTTGATATCTACGAGTTCAATCCATGGGACCTTCCTCGTACGTCGCTCTCCCTTCTTCTTCTTCTTCTTCTTCTTCTTCTTCTTCTTCTTCTTGATGATCATCTCTTGTTTTCATGTTGCGAAGCCTTTTTCCAGTTAAGAGACATTCCTGCAGAGAGAGAACATAAAGAACTGCAATTTATTTTTCCAATAACCTCGGAACTATCATTCTAGATCCAGCTTTTATTTCGTGTGGATGTACTAGGCATTTCTAAATGTATTTGCTTTTTGCGCTTTTCAACTCGGGTGAAACAACGGTCTGAGAGCCTTCTCTTTTAGGATATCATGCATTTCTTCAAATCGTAAATTGGATTCTCCTTCGAAGCACTGTTTCTTATTAAGTGCCCTCGTCTGAAAAGAAAAGAACCAACGAGAATTTGGAGAATTTCGGTAAGGAAGTTGTACCTGTTAGACCCTAATTATTGATATATTTGTATGGATTTCTTATAAATAAGTTTAATGCGATGGGCTTCAACTTTTTTGCAGTTGGAGGAGTCATTTCATAATTCATGATTTATTTTCCCAAGCAGTGTTCGTTTGCATCCACAATATGTACACACAGTCTATAATTTCATGAACAATCCTAAAAACATACCCATGTGTTAGAATGTTTAAAAAACAATTACAATTCCACCAAAGAAAGATCGCAGATCTTTGATTATACTCTCTATTCTATTATGTAACAAAATTCTTTTGGATCCAGAATCTGCGGGAGATCTATGCCGTGGAGATCCGGAGCAATGGTTCTTCTTCATCCCGAGACAAGAGACCGAGTACCGCGGCGGGAGGCCGAGGCGGCTCACGACCACTGGGTACTGGAAAGCTACAGGCTCTCCCGGTTTTGTCTACTCGAGCAATCGCATCGTGGGAGTGAAGAGAACTATGGTGTTCTATATGGGACGCGCTCCAAACGGCGTGAAAACCGAATGGAAGATGAATGAGTACAAGGCCATTGAAGGGGAGGCTTCTTCTCCAGAAGAAATACCAGTGGTGGTATGTGATGCCCTAATCCAATGTTTAGCGAAAAACTGTTTAATAATCTATGTCACACACAGGGAATTATTTAACTTAATTTCAAATATTTCATGTGTAATCTAATTCAGTGGTGGTGTAACTGCAATGGTATTGATAGTAATCAAGACAATAAGATCCGAGTAACATAAGTGCAAGTGCTTGCAGCAACCTGGACATATTCTCGTTCGTCTTTATCTTTACATGTTCTATTATCGCATTGAGTTTCCAATCTAAAACTCAACTAGTCTCTTTTATAGGCAAATAGATCTACACCAATTGTTGAACCCCAAGAAACAAAATGAAAGTAGAACCACAGCAGAATGGATTGACATCTCTTTCGATCTTCTTGTTGCTGGAACACGCATGAGGCGGACAGCGACTCATGACTAATGTCTCTCGTTTGTGTCTATAATTGCAGCCAAGGCATGAATTCAGTGTGTGCCGGGTGTACAAGAAAACAAAGACCTTGAGGTCATTCGACCGGAGACCGATGGGAGAAATCATCAGAAGCAGCCATGCATTTCAACAGAACACCATGCCAGATGATGATCGACATCCTCAGGAAATGACATCATCTCGTCGGAGCAGTCCTCCATTCACGGAGAGAACAAGCTCATCGCCAGACAGTTCAGGCGCCTCCGGAGACCAGGGGACAAATCCTTCGCAAGCAGGAGGACTAGGAAGCAGTACTGACATGCAGATGCTGCCCGGTGATAGCGAATTGTTCTTGCCAGACTGGGAACAGTTCTGGTCTTAGTTAAAGAAGGCTAATTTACTATGTCTAATTAAAAAAAAATGCAGATTGCTGTTGTCCTGATTTAAAATGGAGTAACTCATAATCAACTCGGTGATGCTAAGCAGATGTGTTGTTCTTTCGAAATTTCATGTCTGTTCAAAGTGCGCTTGTATCCTAGATTCGACCATGGATGTAGAACTAATAAAGAATGTCTCAGTCGATATCTTTTCGTGCACCATATTCAACCATGTGTGTGTTTGTGTTTGCTTGTTTTGTGAAGAAATGGTCCATGGGAGTTATTGCATGTGTTCAATAAATTCTAGAGCTCCCAAATGATTACCTGGGGATCTAATTTGCTTCTAATCCTTTTTTCTTTTTTTTTTGATAAAATTATTTCAGACGCTTTCCAATAGATTGATACAAATACTTTGCGATCTTGGTTTTTGACGTCTAATCAAATTCGCGGATATTATGGAAGAAGCATATATATTGGAAAATAATCAAATTAACCATCTAGTGCGTCAGGCTTTATTAATTTTGGAAAATATATTGCCTTAAATTCATGTCTAGCACTTCTTCTTCTTCTTTTATTTTTTTAATTTGGGGCTCTATGATGTCTTATTTTGGAAGAGGAAAGAGCTATGTACAAAATTGATTAATAAGGTGAAATGTTAAATTCTGGTTAGGTACGTAAATATCATCATTTACTTAAATGGTTGCTCGCAATTTGCGACACTATTATTAATTTTAGAATCCTTAGCATTATCCTTGCACGTAACATGTGATAGACTTAATGATTAGAAATAAAGCTGCAACGATAAACTTAACCAAAGCTAGCTAACTGATGGTCACAGTTGTGACTTGCAGAGTTCTTGGACACAATAAGGTCACAATTTCATGAAAGGTTCTTCATAGCTACGTATCATCTTCATCCAGAGAAATAGATAGGGCTTGCTCATTTCTTTTTTTGGCCCAAACAATATTTTATTTTGGGAAAATTTTAAAAAGTGGTTTTGGACGCTCAATTTCAATTATTGCGTTCTTTCATGGAAAGTGTTGACGTTTGATAAGAAACTATTTTTAAAGTTCTTTGAATTCAAGTCTACCCTTTTCAAGTCAACAATTCAAAGCTGTTGTCGTTGCCTACTTTTGCTCAAAAGACTTTAAGAGTACACAACTGCTTTTCTAAATCTTTTTGAGCTTCCATATTCTGAACTACAAAATCGAGTAAAACATACTCTATACTTTGCTAGAAGCATCGAAAGTGAACGACACTCTAAATTTGTCAAAATTTATTAGATGACATATATATAGTTATCTCGCATATTGCCTAAACGTCCTATACACATGAGATTCGCTTTTACATGAAAGAGAAAATGCGTACGACATGTGTAATTAACACTTCTTAAATTGTGAAAAAAAAAACTCCGGAATAGTCTAAGTAGTTAGTGAAATGAAAAACAAGCATAATGAGATTCTTTTAAGATGTTGATTGGTTGTTAAAAAATATACTTATCTAAAAGCGAGTTGTAGACTGATAAATCACTTGACATATCAAACTTTTAAAGTACTCTTAGCATATTAAAAAGTACTTTAGTGATCCATATTTACATATTTTTCGTTTCCACACTATTGAAATTTCTCGTGAGTTTCATTGAAAGAAACGTGTAAATAAGAACAACCAGATCACACGAAATGCTACTCCTGGTAGATAGGAAATTTCCCATCATTTAAGTATAGATCGGAGAAATTAGTGATCAATTTCGATCTAATATATTTATACTTTTAATTCCATGCCAAATTAATTCAACTAAGTTGAGAGAGACATGCATGTACAATTCCCAACTTGTTCCGTGTGCATATGATGGAAAGAGTCGTCGAAAATGAGGGGGCGAGGGGAATGTTTCCTTGCAATTGCACTGCAAAGACTTGACAAGAGAACCCAAGACATTGACTTGACTTCCTCTCGCAAGTCTTGCCACTGTCATATTTGCAACCATCATTTTCATATGTATATTTATTTATATATAGAGGAGTGCTTTTTGGACGGTGTTTATTTATCTCTTGTACTAATTAATCACTTGTCTTAGAACTTAGGTAAATGTTATGTACGGACTTTGGACTGGTCTTTGTTTTTAATGTTGAAAGTTTCTAACTCTTGCCTAATCAAACTATATATACATTATATAGTTGAGTGTGTCCCCCTCCCATGATCGTGCATGCCATGTGTCGCTTTCCTTGTAAAATGAGACGAAAGTGTCCCAGTGTCCTACGAACGCCAAAAAAGAATAAAAATCTCAACATCAATCATTAATCCGGAAACTTACCTCGAATTTGTCCTACTCTAACATCAACCAGACGTGTAACATATATTGAATTATATTCAATTCTTGGCACCATCAAGTGCAAATAATTACATGTTCCTGCCATACATTTGGCCGTTGACTCGCATTTCCATGGGTTAGTGAGATATTCCTTGGACAAGGTTATTTCTTACCTAGGTGATCTTTCACGACGATGAGGAAACTAGTGTTTTTATGGCATATGTAGTTACCCTAAATTGACTAGGTCTATTGTAATAAAGATAGGTTCGACCGCAACTGGCTTTTGCTTCGAGTCTTTTCTTTTAATCTAACATATGCAACTAAAGAGTCTAGTAATAATTCGGCAAAAGTACACTAGAAGTGCCATAACTTGTGTACGGCGATCACTTTGGTGCCATAACTTTTTTTCGGATCACTTTGGTGCCAACTTTTTTGAAAATCGATCACTTTAGTGCCAATGCTGACTTGGCTCGCCGGAAATCCGATGTGGCGCTAACACAGCTCGCCGGAGAGGTCCAGTCAACATTAAAAACAAAAAACGACGCCGTTTAGCCCGCTGACGTGTACTTTTTTTAAAAAAAAAAATTAAATTATATAAAAAAAAAAAACCCAGCAATGCGAGGAGCCCTCGCTGCCGCCGCAACCCACCACCACCCGGAAGGGCCGGCGGTGGTAGGCGCAAGGGTCGGCGAGGGCCGGATCCGACGAGGCGAGACCTCGCCGTCGCGACCCAGCGACGGCGAGGTCTCGCCTCGCCCAAAGAAAGGCGAGGCCAGACCTCGCCGTCGCCGGGTCGCGACGGCGAGCCGGATCCGGCCCTCGGCTGGGCTCGGCGAGGTCTCGCCTTGTCGGATCCGGCCCTCGCCGGGCTCGGCGAGGCTAACCTCGCCGTCGCGACCCGGCGACGGTCGCCGGATCCGGCCCTCGGCGGGCTCGGCGAGGGTCGCCGAATCCGGCCCTCCCTGGGCTCGGTGAGGGTCGTCGGGCCCTGGCCAGGGGCCGGCGACCCTTGCCGACCACTGCGCCCACCACCGCCGGCCCTTCCCGGCGGTGGTGGGTTGGCGGCAGCAGCGGCGAGGGCTCCCTCGCCGCTGCTGCAACTTTTTTTTTAAAAAAAAAAATTAAAAAATTCGAAAAAAAGCCACGTAATTTCCACCGTGTACAAGTCAGACCATTTTTTTTAATATAAATGCCGGGTAAGCTTTTTGGCCGGAATTTTGGCCGGAGTCACTAAAGTGATCGATTTTTCTCCGACTTGGCACCAAAGTGATCCGAAAAAAAGTTATGGCACCAAAGTGATTGCCGTACACAAGTTATGGCACTTCTAGTGTACTTTTGCCGTAATAATTCGAAGGAAAAGATAAGACTTCCTTCTTTGTTGAGTACGAGTTAGGGCAGATGAAAAAGTCGAGAAACTAAAACTCCCACCTCTCTTTCTAGTGAAGCGTTTTAGCCTGCGCGCTGTTAGAGAGCCGATCATAGCTATCTAATGATAGTTTTTTGTCAGGTTTTGTTTGATCGAGTTTTTGCAAGCTAGGATGATTTTAACGGTGACAAGAATAACATAAACGTCATCGAGCGTGGTAACCCGACAGTAAAAGTCATGATATCTTGTACGAGGTCACAAATTCAAGCCATGTCGCGATGTAGGTGTTGCTACCACTTCTCGACATCCGACGTATCAACAAGGCTGCAATGACAGGCTCATCAACTTTGGAACTTTGGATTTTGAGTGGCCTATGTAGCTATGGTTTAAAAAAAAAAACTTTCTGTAATAGATGTGAGACCCTTATAGTAACATCCAAGAAGAGTAGTTACACCGATCATCCTTCCATTCCTTTCTACCGGGACACATCTCTCATTTCATCGCTTCGATTCTTGCCAAACTAAACATACAATCTACATTTTAAGGACACTCCTATTCAATAAAGAAGATTTTACATGAGCTTGATGCTTTAATCCTAGATTGTCGAGAGGAGTCTAGATCCAAAGCCATGTTCAGTTCAATCCTAGTTTTACCTTAACGCTTGTTTAGCTCCCCTTTTTAATACGAGTATCTTTTTGCACCACTATCTTTCAACACAAAATCTCCTTTCCGTTGCATTGCACAGCAACACTCGCGCTCAGTTTATTTTGCGAAAATTAAATAATTTAAAATATATTTTTCTAAAATTGATCACTCGAAATAATTAATCAATAAAAAATGAAATTTTTATTCATTCAGTTTTGGGAACGATCATTTTTAGTAAGAAAATATCGTTCACTTTCCATGAAACAAACGGAGCCTCAGTTTCGTATAGCTGTACCTAGCACCTACAATAGACATCTGGACTAGACTGTGATAGAAAAACATTATTAGCCCACGAAGTCCACCTTCACCCATAATCCCTTCCGCCAAATTAAACTGTCGTGACATTCCATACCTTTCAGATATCATCAGATATTGAAAAAGCATTGCTGGGACTCTCGATAGAAATCCGACACATTCATTTTGTTTAGATTACCAATAGCCCATGATGGCACATATAGAACTCTAAAACACATTTCTACACCATGACACTCGCCTTCACCATAGTAATTTCTTAGAAACTTATTGCGATGACAAGGTGAAAACTCCAATGATCTAAGAAATTCCTCCGAAATAGAGGTTCTGATACCAATCGTTGGGACACTTATAGTCCGAGCCTAGGAAAACATTCAATCAAACTCTTCTCCTTTCAAAAACTTAAAACCGTCAAGTGATGAGCCAACAATATTTATCAACTGTTCAGTCCTTCACTAATTACCTGATGTAGGAATGATTTATCCCTAACAACCTCAATCTGGTTCTTCAGCCCTGACCGGGAATGAGGGCTCTTCTGACCTGTACTAAAATTAGCCGCTCACGGTCCTGCCCTCTCAACGAATAAAGAAAGCTATTAATGCATGGCATATATTGTCTTTCTTGATCACACGCTAACACAGAAGACCTCTCGGTCCAAGGCATTGGCAATCATTATGAGCGATAGAGGACAACTTGATGGTGAAAGATTATGGTCCTGTAATTAGAAAAGAATATGGAGAGAGAGAGAGAGAGAGAGAGAGAGAGAGAGATGGGTTGCTTTTGGGTACTCCCGACTTATATTAGCTCCTCATCAGCCGTTAGATCATGTAAATCTGGCATAGTTACCACCAGATCTAATGGCCTAGTTGAAGTGAACTAACATAAGCTCGTAGTACCTCATCATTTTCCCAAACAAACAGTTGCTCCATCTTTGCTGTTATCATACACGAAAGAGAACTCTGAAAAAACAAGCAGTACTAATCACATCAGAATCACTAAATGACTATATTTTGATTTTAGTGTTGAAGAAGCTTTATGCAGAGTGACTCAGCATCACTAAAACACACCAACAAGAACAGAGGCTCATATCACAGAGCAAAAGTTAACTGTTCAAATCGCCAACTGAGCATATTCCGACAAAGATTTACAGGGTATAGAATTTTGTATATTTTTCCAACTGCACATCAGAGTCTCGCATTTGATCTATTCAGTCTGGCATCAGGATTTATCACCACTCATCATCAAGGCTGGCACGGTGAAAGCACATTACTGTGAAGACAAATATGATGAAAGATGTAAACTCGATGAACATAGCTCCCGTGTTAATCAGATCAGCGTGTCTGAGGATAATAGGAATAGCAAAGCTTCCAACAGCCGATGCTCCGGTCAAAAATTTAGCAGCGTCAATCCAGCTATAAAAAATTTAAAAGAAAAAATTAAGGCAAGATAGATGTTACCAGGGAAGGACATTAATTCAGTCATAGAAAAGCACTCGTGCAACTGTATAGGGTTAAATAATACAGATATCACCGACGGCAGTGACATCTCTTTTTATTGTAAAAGCCAAACCATACAAGCTGTCAGGTCCAGTTCAATCATTAATGGAGCTACAACAAAAGACAGGACAACAGGTGTGAGTAATATAAAAATCATTACTCAATCCCCAAAACCACGAGGAAACTATTATGAACCGGTTTCCACCACAAACAATCATGCGGCAACCATTCCAACTCCCCTTCTGCTGATTTTCCCCAATAGTTATAGAACCATCAATTCAAGATAACATTCTTGGAGTAGAAATGCTGATCTATTCGTGAGTTCTTGAGAAGATTATGGCGATGAATGGAAGTCATACCATCAAATTTCTTCAATTAGAGGAGGTATGAGCAAGAAGAATTCCTGCCGCTAGAAAATTTTCAATCTAGAAATGAACTTAGGGAGAAAGCGAACTATGGAAACAAACTAATCTTGGTTTGATCTTTACGGCCGAAAATAATTACGAGTACATACCCAAGAGAAACTCAATCCTAGCACCACTTATAGTTGCCATATTTTATCTGTTTACCTAGGTAGCACAGAATGTTGGACCATGGTGGCAGTCAGTCTCTACTCTTCCAACAAGTTTAGAAAGTCTGAACCCACAACAAACAAAGCAAGAAAGTGTTATGATTAAAAGTACTCACCCTCCACCATCTCGACTGATCAAAAACTGAGTTGACCCGCCTCCAAAAAATAGACAAGGCATGGGCACCAAAATGTACATTAGAGCTGCAAGAAACAATGAGCATGTTAGTAACCTTCCAAAGGCAATATCAGGTTTGAAGGACGATAAATTAGCACTTGCCTGATAGCATTGGCCACCAATTATTGTACAATGCGCAGGCCTGTTTGTCAAAAATGAGCAAAAAAGAGCAAACATAAGAACAATAGTGTACAATACTCACTTAGTAGAGTGGCAGTAAGTTTCAATACTCAGCTGATTTCCTGGTAAGGACCCAATTTAGAGGTGCACTTTGAAGTATTACATATGTACAAAAACAAAACGCAGAAGTTCCTTGAAATGGAAAAAGATGATGAATTCCAAGCAGTTAGGCCAAACAGCAAGATATGCACACATGAATGTCTTGAGGAACATCTATTGACAGCTAGAGGACCCACCACTTGTTAAACCTCTACGGACAACTGGAAAATGCAGTTCCCCAGGTTTCATGGAACTGTTTTGGAGAGAGAGAGAGAGAGAGAGTTCTGTAGATGCTTGGGGGTCCAAGAAAATGGACAAAAGAAAATACAAAAATGTTTTTCACTAGCTAAGTGTCTTCAATATGGACGCCACTGATACCCACACAGTCCAAAGGTAGAAAGAATTCAAAAGTACAAATACACGTGACAAATTATCGACCACCGTATTTGCTGCTGTTGTAAATTGGGAGGAATGACACAAATATGCAAATGACAGCGTTGACCACCATATTTACTGCGGAAGGAAATTGGGAGAGGATCACTAATCCATTTTTGAAGTGCATGAGCAATTAATCTATGAACACGTATTTGGCAAACTGAACTTCAATAATAATCCGATTATCCATGCCAAACACACATCACAACAAATTCCTGTAAAGCATAGACAGATCGCCAGTATGAAACCTCAAACTGGTTCTTCATTATCAATGCCCGATGGCACATGATTAGCAATGTCATCTCAAGGAAAGAATAGCACAAAGAACTTAAAAGACTTAATAAAGATGAAAAGACTGACATAGTCAAGGGCAAGATGGACTGACCAATCCTTCCAAATGTATACCTAGGCAACCTAATTGTTGTTTGTCCTTGGTCACATTGGCCGTATCCAGTAGATTAACGAGACAGAGCTCTTTAGCAAGGACAACATATTATAGAAAATTCAAAGTAGAAGGTAAAATAAGAGCATATCATTTAGAATATCATTGGAGTTAACTATTCACATAAACAAGCAATCTAATTCTATCAAAAAGTTTATTCCACCCTGGTATTTAGTACATACCAAGATCTGTAGCAAGATGCTGGACGAAAACATAAAAGCAAGCCCAGCCAGACTGCAAAGAAGGAAATCTTGCTTCAGACATTAAATTTCACTGAGTTGCATCACAGATAAAATCGCAGTGGTATTTTCTTTAACAGGAAATGAAATGTGACTTTGCAACTTACACTGGAGTAAACGGCCGCCAGGAATCCCACGACAGCAGGGCAAAGCAAAAGAACACAACCAGAGTCAAAGGATGCCGTATAATTGACAATCAGTATATAAGCAAAGAAGAAACAAAGATTCTTTAGCCAAACCTAAAACGAAACGATCGACAGAGCAGAGACAAAATCTTCGACGCGATTAAATACATTCCTACCCACGACGATTTTTTCTACTCTGGCAGACATGTTAGCAATCATCTGAATACCTCAAGCCACACCAAACCCATTTTAGGGCAGCTCATCACGCCCTTCAAAACCTCATTTCTTCTTTTGGTTTGCCGGCGAAGCACTTTGTGCATTTCTATGGTCAAATCAAGCACAGCCCCAAATCAAGAAACTAACACCCATCACCCTAAACTGAATTTACATATTAAAAAGCACCGAGCTTTCATCCTCCATCGAACTGCACTGCAACTAAAGGGGTAAAAACAGAACAGCAGAGCGCTTCCGATCTTCACCCCAAAAAAAGGGAAAAGCGCACCTCAAAATCAGTTCAAAACAGACTAGCCCTTCACTACAAAACCGGGTTCGAGCTCAGTGGGAGTTTCCAACACTGCCGTCGACCCAATTTCGGATCTTTCGGCCTCCACTTCACTGGGAAGCCGATGAGGCGACGACGAGCGGGGGCGAATTTCGCACTTAGGGCAAGGAAGGAATAAACCCAGAAGGAGGAGGAGCAGGAGGAGGAGGATAGAGCAAGAAAAATCGAACCTTGAATGGTCATCGCCATGTTTGATCCGTCCCAGAGCAGGACGATTGAGCTTGCGAATCGAAACCGCAGATGAGGAAGGGGAGCGCGAAGCAGTGAAGGAGATGAATGGTTCGATTGATTTTGCAGGGTGCGAATTGCTCGATTTCGGTGTGGACTTTTCAGTATTGCGTTGGCAACCGTCGCAGAAGAGGGAGTAAAGGTGGTTTGCGGGTGGAAATTTTCGATTTCCAGAAGGGTAAGCGTTTGACGAAAAAACGAATCGTTAATACCAAGAAAAACTCTAAATTGATATATTTATAATAAATTTATTTAAAATTATTTTTTTGATCATAAAAAATTTTAAATTGGTATATTTGTGATAATTTTATCTCGAACTATTTTTTTAATCATCAAAAACCCCACACTGGCATTTTCATGATAATTTTATCCCGAACCAATTTTTTGACCACCAAAAATCTCAAACTGGTACACCTGTGATAAATTTATCCTCCGTTAGTTTCCGTTAAATTTTATCGTCAAATTACTAAGTTTGATGATACGTGGTAGTTGACAGGTGTACCAGTTTGAGGTTTTACCCCTCTGTTTGTCACAAGTTTACAAATTTGTGATTTCCGTGATATTAATCCAATTTAACGGACATTAACGGAGGGTAAATTTGTCATAAATGTACCGGTTAAAGTTTTTAGTAATCAAAAAATTAGTTTTGGGGTAAAATTATCACAGGTGTACCAATCTGAGATTTTTAGTGGTCAAAAAAATAATTCGGGGTAAAATTATCACTGGTGTACTAGGTTAAGATTTTTTGTTATCAAAAAATTAGTTCGGGGTAAAATTATCACAAGTGTGCAAGTGTGAGGTTTTTGGTGGTCAAAAAATTAGTTCATGGTAAATTTGTCACAGGTGTACCAATTTGAGGTTTTTTGTGGTCAAAAAATTAGTTTGTGGTAAAATTGTCACAGGTCTACCAGTTTGGGGTTTTTCATGATATTAACACTAAAAGAAAAGGTTGATATCACACAAAATCCAAAATTGGTATATTTGTAATAAATTTGCTCTAAATTAATTTTTTGATAATGAAAAACCCCAAATCGGTACACATGTGGTAAATTTACCCCAAACTAATTTTTTTGACCATAAAAAATCCCAAACTGGTACACCTGTGACAATTTTATCCCGAACTATTTTTTTAACCGTCAAAAACCTCACACTGGTACATCCATGATAATTTTACCCCGAATTAATTTTTTGATCACCAAAAACCTCAAACTGGTACACCTGTGACAAATTTACCCTCCGTTAATTTCCGTTAAATTTTACCGTCAAATTGCTAAGTTTAATGACAGTGGTAGTTGACATGTATACCAGTTTGGGGTTTTACCCCTCTGTTTGTCGCAAGTTTACCAATTTGTGATTTTTCGTGATATTAATCCAATTTAACGGACACTAACGGAGGGTAAAATTATCACAGGTGTACCGGTTTTGAGTTTTTGATGGTCAAAAAATTAGTTCAGGGTAAAATTGTCACAGGTGTACCAGTGTTGACACCTAAATTTTGACAATCAAGTCAGTCGTTCGTTGCATAAAAATTAGGGATCGATCCCAGTCCCTAGACAAAAAATTAGCATATAGATTAGAAGCATTTGAATTTGTATTTAGGCTCACATAGTTGCATTTGCATTGGACTGGCGGCGGATGGACTCAAGTGCAGAGGTTGTGAACTCAATGGAAATTGGACTAAACTCGCGTGGATTAAAGATTTTGGCCTAGCCCATTTATTTTTGCGCGAGGGGTCCTACACTTAGAAAGAATTTTCGTAAGTTCACGATCTAGGGACGTGCGATCAAGAGCAACATATAAATCGTGCAAAAGGTTATACTCTTGATTGTGTGTATATTATATGTTTGCCATATATTTGGTGCATAATTCTTGATCAAGAATCGATAAAAAAGAGAGAGATTCTTTTCCGAGTCTTGAAGGGCGTAATCTTGTCGGTTTAGGCATGGAATATTGGCTGAAATACGGACAATATTCTGATTTGGGGAGTGAAGAAGACAAAACAAATATAAAAGAAGATGTGTGCGAGAGGGGAGATGAGGAAAGAAATTGCAAAGCTAGATTGTGCAATATGTGGTTGAAAAGAGAAAATATTGTATATTTTCTTTCCTTGGTGGGCTCCATTTCTTGGCATATAAATAAGATGATAGTGCAATGCGTGAAGGGGGGGCTTTTCTTTTGGATCGGATCAGACACAAGAAACACAGAGAGAAAACACGAGAGCGAGAGAGAGGAACGGGGGGAGAGAGAGGATCACGGGTGGACTTGTCCTGCCGCCGCATCCGTGTGGCCTCACTGCCGGGCCTCCATCAACGTCGCGCACGCTCACGGCCGGACTCGTGGCCGTGAGTCACTGCTGCCCGAAGTCGACACCGCTGTGCCCGTGTCGCCCATTCCAACGCCGGGCTGGTTGCCGCTTCTCCCTGACACGCGCGGACTCCTGCCGCTGCTGTTCCGTGACGTTGCCGTCCCACTGCTGATTGCTGAGCCGCCGCCTGTTGCTGCTTCTCTCACGGCCAGACCTGTGGCCGTGAGTCGTGACCCTCCTCGCTCCGATCTCTACTGAATCCGCACCTCTGCTGCTCGTGCCCCGTTCAAGCCTGCACCAGTGAGAAGTCCTTACACAACGACGCTGAACCAGCCCTCTGACGACGAAGCCATCGAGCGCCGCTTACTGCTCCAAGTTCAACACTCACGACGTCACCGTTCTCCTTCTCTTGCCAATGCGAGACCACGATCCAAGAATTGGTCCGACGTCCCCGCATGACTAGATCGGCTTTTGTTTGATACACTCTGAAGCATTGAAGACAGTCAAGTGGAAAGCTTAATTGTGTGGGCTTAAATAGTCAAAGTTTGATAATCAGAAGAAGACCATTACAAGACCAGCCAGATTCGGTCAAAAGCTGAAGGACGACGATGCATTTGCTGCTCCCGAGTTGACCGAGAGCCCACTGTCGAGTCACGCCCCTGCTGTTGCGTCACTCTCGCGGCCGACTCCGTGGTCGCGAGCCAGTCCATTGTCGCCGCATCCGCCGTCGATCGCTCGTCGCCCGTCATCGGTTATCCGTTGCCGGTCCACTCGCCGCGATCCCGATCCGCCACGAGTTCAAATTTGGAATTATCCGCCAATTAGGTAAGATTATCCGAATATTTCTCTTAAATATTTAATTTCCTAGTTTTCGGGTGTTTGAATATTTCGTGAATATTTTGGTGGATAGCTAGATATCTTAGGGTAATTTTGTGATATCCGCAATATTTGAAAATACCCAAAATTAGGAATCATTCCTAATTTGGCAACGTATCTGAACGACTATCCGACCTTATCCCTAAGGTACGATACGCGGCGATACGGAAAATCGTTATCTTGTCCATAATCACTTGGATACGATAATAGATTTAATTTGCTTTCCAAATTTAAACAATCAACTTTCTGTCGATATCTATAACCCTATAGATATGATCGTTAGTTTGATTTCTTTGCCTTATATGAATTTGAAGAATCTTGCGGATTGCGTGAATTGTTTGAATGTGATTGATATCTTTGTTTGATTGTTTTCCTTTTAAATAAAGAAAATCTAAAAATTTGCTAGTTAGATTTAAATTAGAAATTTTGCATGCTTAGGGAATCTTAAATATATCCAAAAGAATAAGATAATTATTTGATTTAAATTGGGATTTAGGGTAGTATATTTCCTAGTTTAAATTAGAAATTATTTTACTCTTAGTGGATTATTTAGGATATTTAATAATTTCGAATTTTAATAAAAATCCCAAAAAAAAGAATCACTTTAGGATAGATCAAATCATTTTCTCTAGGATAGATTGCATGTTAATTTGAGTAATTTTTAATTCCGAATTTCATTTGAAAATACCAAAAATAAATCATTTGTCCGTCATTAGAATTAGGTCACGTCGTCGCATGACATATAGTTTGCATGTTAGGCTGCATTAATCGCATGTTAATTTTTGCACGTCATTACATATAGGTTAGTTTTCATTTAAATAAGTGAAAATCCTAAAAAATATTGAGTGAACTGCTTGTTAATTAGAAATCATATTAGAATTGTTGATGTGATTTTCTAGCTAACAATGCAGATGCTTACGTTGCTTCGAGGTAAGTAATTCTCCCAATCTTG